AAGATCAAATTAATTTCATCATGTGTAATAAAACATGCTGTTAACTATAATCACAGCCTCCTATGGGATAAGATCAAATTAATTTCATCATGTGTAATAAAACATGCTGTTAACTATAATCACAGCCTCCTATGGGATAAGATCAAATTAATCATGTGTAGTAAAAAATGCTGTTAACTATAATCACAGCCTCCTATGGGATAAGATCAAATTAATTTCATCATGTGTAATAAAACATGCTGTTAACTATAACTACAACTTCATATGGGATAAGATCAAATTAATCATGTGTAGTAAAAAATGCTGTTAACTATAATCACAGTCTCCTATGAGATAAGATCAAATTAATCATGTGTAGTAAAAAATGCTGTTAACTATAATCACAGTCTCCTATGGGATAAGATCAACTTAATTTCATCATGTCTAATAAAACATGCTGTTAACTATAACTACAACTTCATATGAGATGTGATCAAATTAATCATGTGTAGTAAAAAATGCTGTTAACTATACTCATAGCCTCCTATGGGATAAGATCAAATTAATTATGTGTAGTAAAAAATACTGTTAACTATAATCACAGCCTCCTATGGGATATGATCAAATTAATCTGTTCTCCACGTAATTACATTGAACTGAATATAAGAGAGTTGCTGGAAATAATTAAACATAAGAGATTTTGTTCATTGGCTGTATTTCACTTAAACAGAATGCTGATAAAAATGAATTTTTTTAAAATAAACTTTATGTACTGTTGTCTCATCAATTTTCTGCATGATGATGGCCCAAACAAATGTGGTTGAAACATTTAGTAAAACAGTGTTTTTTTTTATATTAGCATTTCTCAAACTATAGTCATTTATCCTCCCACCCACTTTTTTTTAAAAAATGAGTGAAAGAGTAAGTTAAGATGAGATGTAAAATATGGATACATATTAAGATGCTATAATTATAATTGTTGTAGTAATTACTTATTATTTTCATTAATGAACAATATATTAAAACACTTTATTTTACATTATTTCACCATAGACTCTACCTTAATTGCTTCCCCCCTCCCCCAAGGGATCATTTTCAACACCTGAAAGGGCATGCCTCACACTTTGGGAAACATTACCTTATATTAGTTTGAGTATCTAAGTATAAAGATTTCTAGCACCTAAATATATATCTATATATCATAGAAAACAACTCACAATCAAAACAGTTACTTTGTCAAACAATCAACAAGATGATGAAATTATTATAACAAAAACATAGTTGGCAATAAAAACACAGGTTGAATTCATGTAATGCATGATAAAAACACAGGCTGAATTCATGTAATGTATGATAAAAACACAGGCTGAATTCATGTAATGTATGATAAAAACACAGGCTGAATTCATGTAATGCATGATAAAAACACAGGCTAGAATTCATGTAATATATGAATAAAAACACAGG